TAAATTTTGATCATTAAGTTTGCTGACTGTTCTTCAAGTTATTCTTCTTCTTCATCTTTATAGTCTCCAGATGCTATGTAATATTCATTTAAGATTTCTTTAATTGAATCATAATCACTATCTTCAGCTTTCTCTTCCTTTTCTGGTTCTGGATATTTTTCTTTCAATGATTTTTCAACCTGTTCATATTATATATAATCTTCATAAATATCTGAATCACAAGGAATCAAACATTCATTACAGAGTTTTACATTAATATATTCTAATTGAGCAAGTTATTTTCTTTGAGAAGAAAATAGTTGTTGATAAATAGCCAGAAAGATTTCTTAGGCTAATGCTTCTTCAGATCTATCATAGGTAATATATTGCATCTTTTCTTCTTCATCATAATCAGTGATATATTAGACAAGTATTACTTTTTCAATTTCATTGCATTGTTGGTAAACATTTAACAAGTTACTATTACTTCTTAATTTCTGATAGTACCATTATTTTTTTATTAATCATCATGATTAAATATGTATACACATTGCTCAGTATAGTCACAAAAATATTTGACATCATTATATCCCCAAGTTATTTCAAGGAAGTATCTAGCTTTATCTCAAATTTCACAGTAGTCACAGGTAGATAAATTGAGTTATTGTTGAGTGAAGTAATCAGTACAAAATTGTTTTTCAGATTCATTTCCATCTCTTGCTTCTGAAATAGTTTCACTATCCATAAAGTATTTACAATGTGTATATTTAACTATTCTTTCTTCAAGTTTTAATTTTTATAGAGCTTCACTTTTAGAAAAGAATTTTTCTTTAGTGATAGGTATCTTTTCTGATTCTCAGGTATGTTCTACTTCTAACCACCAGTCTTTAGTTTTATTCTGGGGTAAAATTGTTGATAGATTATTCAGGGTATTTATTTTAACATTAATCCAGATAACTAGATCATCAAAGTATTGAGAGCATTCATGTTTAGGTGTTGGTAATTTATGATAACACTAACATTCAGCTGCAGAATCTCTCCAGTTAAAAGTCTATTGAGAACTTTGATAGTAAGTCTGCTGGAATCTTCTTTTCAATTTTGAGTATTTTTCCTAGGTAAGAGTGATATCCTTGACTTGTATTTTTTTTTCAAAGATTTTGACATTTCTAACTTTAGGAATTGAATTTATGATCATATAAGAAATCTTTCCAAAGTCTACATCATTAAGTCATCTGGATGAAGTATGAATCTGAGTCCAGGATTTATCTGATGTCTATCATAGAAAATTACAATCTTCTAGATTTTGATCTTTAATTTTGAACTCATTATCAGAAGTTTCACTAGAAGATGTTTCTGTATCATCATCACTATCTTTAGGTATAGTATTTCATTATCCATGAATGAATTTGATTGACATTCTTCCTTCTTCTCCATTCTAATCAAAGATCATGATATTTTTCTTTAGATCAATTTTAGCATTAATTTTGTTTAATCAGTCCATTCCTATTACAAGATTATAGGTTTAAGCTTCAGTAATATTCACTTCTGCTGGAATTATGATTCCATCAATAGTGATAGGAAAGTTATCAATAGCTCCTAATAGTTACTTGGAATGTCCATTAATATCAGATATGAAGATATTTGATTTTTGTTGAATCTTCATTCCTAATCATTTGAGAAATTCATGACTGATGATACATCCTGATGCTTTAATATCCATAATTAAGTCTACAAGAGTTTTTCCAACTTTGACTTTACATCAGGCTAAAATTATTTTGATCTTCTAGGTGAACATTGTTTTTCATTTAAGTTTCTTCTGTAGTTCCTTTCTTATTCCTTTTGACATTTGAATTTTTTGTTCAGGTGATGTCTTGATGAGCTGGGCAATAGTGATATTGGCTTATTATGATGCCAAATCTTTGAGTATATCATAGGTTTCTGCTTTCTTGGCTAGAATTGGAAGATATGCTCTTCCTTTCTTTCTTTTCTTCTTCTCCAAATTAATCTTGTCTTCTTCAGGTACTTCAGGTAAGGGTTGAGTAACTTTATTTTCTTTTTCACTTTCTTCTTCTTTTTTGATAGTTCTTTGGCATTTTCTTTCTTCAGCAAGATAATCATGAGTTGCTAGTAATGAGAAACTAGATTGAGTTGATGAATCACTAGATGGATCATTATCAAATGCTTGCAAAGCAGCTGTTAAATTCTGAATTTGAGCGAGAAGAGAAGTAATATTCAGGTTTTGTGAATTATTAAATTACTGATTATGGTTTCAGGTATTCTGGTTCTGCTGATTATTGTTATTACTATTGTTGTTCTGATTTCAATTATTCCAATTTCAAGAAGTATTTTGATTTTTAGACTGCTGATTTGTAGACTGAATATTGTTTGGACAATATCTACTGATATGTTCTTTTTCTCTACAAGTATAACAAACAATGATAGATTAGTCTCTTGGCTGATTTCATTGTTAACTGTTATTATTATTCTGATTATTATATCTTCTTTCAGATTTTACATAATCTAACCTACTAATTAGATCTTGCAAAATCTTAGCAAGGGCACTCCATTCATCAGTTAATTGAGCTTGGATTTGGTGATATATCTGTTTGAGTGAATCTGAATCAGCTTCTTCTATATTTTTAGCAGTTTTAATAATACTTTCCATGGTATCATCAATATTTAAATTAATCTATTTTTGAATTTCAGGTTTGAGTCCTTTCTTGAAAATTTGAATTTTGTATTCTTCTGGATAATCATTCTTTGGATCTACTTTACTTCCTAGTTCCATGAATTGATTAGTATATTCTTCTACAGTTCCAGTTTGCTTCAAGAATTTCAATTCATCTTGTCACTATTGTATCTTACAAGATAAATAAAATTTAAGAATAAATTGGCAAGTAAAGTCATATTCATTATGATCTTCATTTTTCCAGTTGTCTAACTTAAGATCATTATTTGTAGCTCATTGATCAAATCAGGCAGTAGCTGGTCCCTCTAGATATCTTCTTACTATCTCAATCTTTCTATTATTAGTGGTTTCATTGGCTTTTGTGGCCACTTCAAAGTCATGTAACCATTCAATTAGATCCTGATCATTACCCTTAAATTTATGAATTGGAATAAGAATCTTCTCAATTCTTTGTATCTTCATGGATTGAATTAATTCTTCAAGAGCTTGAATAAGGCTGTCTATTCTGTTTGATATAGTAATTTCTTTCTTGGGTTGGGACTTTTGAGGTTGAATTTGTTCAATTGTGACTGTTGGTTCTTCAGGATCTTCTGAATCACTACTTTTGTATTCTGATTTTGTGGGCTGATTAGTTAAGGAAGTTTCAAAGTTATTTGTCTCTTCAAGAACAGAGAGAATACTATTTACTAGGTAAATCTGTTGTTCAACTGTGATTTTAATTCCAAATACAAAGATATTTAATAACTTGATAATTTCTCTTTGAAATTGATTAGATATAAGATTTTGTTATACAATGTTATCAAAGAGTTTCTGTGAGAGTTTATTATGTGAGACCATGTGATAATTCTGAGTCCAGATAAGAAAATTTACAAATCTTCTATCTGAATTTTTATTGGCAGAAAAATAGTAAGAGCAGTAGTTGTATAGTTCAATGTGAGGTAAGAATTTCCAAGAGTCTTCTCTGTTATGTTCACTGAGATATAGGTCGATTGGGAGTCCAATAAAAGAGTAATATATACTCATAAACTAATAAATTATTTAGATAACAGGGTATCTCAAGGATAGCTAATCCTTAAAATAATTAAAACGAATAAAAAGTAAATAATAAAAATAAATTGACTGGGACCTCTAGGTGGGTGAGGTCTACAGAAAGGATACCAAATATTATAAATTATACTCTAGAAGATAGATTTTATCACGAATATAGTTTATAATAAGTTTTGAGGGTGAAGACTGAATTATTTATAAAGATAAAGGGGATTACAATTATTCTAAAGATTTTCTAGTGCTAATACTTATGAGTATTATATCAATACAAGACAAAAACAAAATAAAATGAAATTATAAAATAAAGTTGTGATCACAAATACTAAACTAAGGGGTGATATCAAAAACTAAGTAACTAATATTTAAAACTAATAACAAATACTAAAACAAAATTAAGATAATTAATGCCAAATCAAAATAAAGATAACAAATACCAAATAAAACTTTTGCATGTAGAGAAGCTTACCAAACCTTTTCTAATAGAGATAACAAATGCCAAATCCAAGCTTTTACATGTAGAAAAGCTATTAAGAACCTTTTCAATCAAAATATAATTTATTATAATAGAAGAGGTAATTAAAAGCAGGATATCAAGATCAATTCTCAGAGAAAATTACAAGATAAGTATAACTCAAGTATTTTCAAAAGACAATTGAATTATTACTATTCAAGTATATTTATTTCAGGTCTCAGAGCAGAGATATTTATACATCTTTAAGATTTTATAAGTTTCTATCTAAACTTGTTTACTATTCTAGATTATAATTACAATCTTTGGGACAAAATATCAATAAATGAACAAGTAAAAATAAGAGATATGATACATGTGATAAGTTAAATGATAATACAAATAACAAAATAAAATGAAAAGATAAGATATATGTTTTAAAAAGAAAAGATAAAAGATAAAAATAAATGAAATTTGTTGATGAACTATTTCTAAAGCGTTTTTGAATTGTTATTAAACTATTTGTAAATTATTGTTAATTTTGGAGCTAATTATTTATTGACAATCTTAAAATATTGCAAAAACATTACAAGAATATTGCAAAAATATTGTTGAATTATGACTAAATCCATAACTGATACACCAATTATATTATTCTAAATCACATATTATTTAAAAATTAATTGATTGGTCACATTTTTCAAGTTCAAAAAATTATGAAATTAAAGAAATTTATGTTACTATGATAACAATATCATAAAATCTATCATTTTATACATTTTTCTCAGCCAAATCCATTCCTTCAATTAGCAATTATTTAATATTTGTTAACATTACCCATCTTTCTTCAATAACAGTCTGTTGGTTTAAGATAGATATTGTTATTTCCAATACTTCTGATACATTTTCCAATACTTTATCTATGATTTGATTATTATTCTCCTGTGAGTTAGTCTGATCTAAATGAATTTGAGAATTATATTGCTAATTGAAAGCAATAAATAGATAATCATGATACCTCAGAGTATTTCAAAATTAGTGTATAAATTTGAGATTAAGTTTAGTTTTTTACACTACCAGATACTTACATAATATGTATGGATTATTTAGATATATTCTGCATGAGCAAAATCACAAATCTGTATCAGTTTAATATATATTTTTATCGTTAATAGTTTTCTACTATGTCCTATCTCACTTCTATTTGAATGAGTACTACCATGATGGAAATTCATGATTATTGTAATATCATTGCCATATAGTTATTTGATTGATAACCAACTATCTAATAATAATCTCTATTAATTGATCAAGTCATGATTAATTATAGTTATATTTATAATCATATTTCAATACTCTCCAATATATCTCAACTAATATTATTGTCTGAATGAGTGGAAGTGCATGTGCATATGATACTCAAGAAAAATAATCCTAATATTTTCTTTGATACTAATTGTACTACAGATATCCCCATAAATGTGTTAAATTTTTTAGTCAACAAAATTAATAAGCTTCAAATATATTTTTATAATATATTTGATCTGTTATCCAGAAAATATCTTTGTATACAGGAATTAGCGGATATGCAAGTGCATATTTTTTTACCATGATAAGCAAGTCTTTTTTATACAGTTCCATATTAATATTATTATTATTGCTGGAAATTAGAATCCAGTAAGGATCAATGAAGTCAAATTGTTTGTTAGCCGCCTGTGCAATATTAATACTATATTGACTATTTTTCTCTCATTTCTCTTCTAATTTTCTTATTACAGTATGCTGCACATGCCAAAGACAAATTTATATATTCATTCTTTTATCTCACACTACTTCTATTGCATTAATCTGTCCAATATCTTTATCAACTAAAACAAATATTGAAAAGATATTTTCTTGTTGTAAATTTAAAAAAAGCATGAAGAGCTTCCTCCCATCTTTGAATTTGATTATTGTTATTACTGCTTAAAATATCTTCTAAAGGAATAAAGATGTTCAAGTATAAATATGCAAGTGGTATACCATGATTGCCATTATTAATTACTACAGTAAAAAGCTTGAAATGTTCTTGATTTGTCTTAAATGTTAAATCAATAGTAATTTTAGTAATATTACTACTCCTAATATATTGTAAAAAGGGTATAATAAATCCAAGAGCTCTTACAAAATCATTTTCAAGATAATAAATTATCTTATAATTTTCATTTCTTTGTATACATTATTCAATGAAATTTTTTGAGAATATGAGCTGATTTTTGCTGTCTGTAACGAATTGTTTTTTTGATAGTTTTGATATTTAATAATATACTTACTGATAAGTATATATTTTTAGATCAATTAATTTAAACAGAGATAGTCTTTTATAAAATTCAACCTTCTGCAAGCCATAATTAAGATTTATTTTTATCCAAGCTACAGTATCAGATGAAATGTTAACTTTTTTATGGATCAGCTTTGGATGACTACACTTATATTTGATTGAGACTGTTGTTCTCTTCCTCTGATAATCAACTTTCATTATAATGCTGCTCTTACATGGATAATGTTATATTGCTGGTCTTACTTCCTGCTCACATCTGGTTAATTCATTATTATTAGACTTTGAATATTCATATTCTTCTCTCTGTGTGCAACCAAAATAAATAGTGACTACCCCTGTTGGTTCACCAAGTTTTTTGTTAGTATACATATTTTGAATTTCTTAATAATATTCTGATCCATTTTCTGCATATTCTTGAAGAATCTTGATAATTTCTAGTGCTATTGCTAATTCTGAATCTTGATTATTTGTATCATTCATATTAATAATTTTATTATCAAGTTCTATTTTAATGTTAAAGTTTACAGAATTATAATTATCAGAGAATTTGGCTTTTATCACAGTTTCCATGTTTATAACATTATAAATAAGATCATCAGTATTATATACATAATTATATTCATCATTTTCATCATACTCGACTTTTGTAATAATTGGAGAATTGATTCTCTCAGAATCTGACACATGCATATTTATTTCTTTAACAGAATTTTGCTCAGATCATCACAGCTTTGCATTTCTCAAATAGAGATTGCATATGAAAAAGATTTATATCTTCTGGTCTCTAGTTTGTATAAAATTAATGATTTGTCTATGAGTCTTGTATTTGAAGCAATATTTAGTTTCCCCTATCATGATGGTACTAACATCATTATTACTCTGAGTAGATATAGTGTGTATAATAAAGTTTGAGTTTGTTATGTGTATAGTAGTAGAAATTATTAGATGGGATATAGTGAATATCTTATGTAAATAGAATAACTATAATTTCTTTAATATGTTTCTTTATTTTCAAGTCTGATTCATTATTACCTTTTATAACTTAATCTGATAGTATAAAAAAAGAATATTATAAGCAAACTACTTTGTAATATTATTATTATATGATCAATATTTTAGATATAAAATATCACAATAGTTAACTTTTCAATAATATCATTAATTATATGATCGATACTTTAGCTATAGAATATCATAATTATTAACTTTTTAATAATAAAATTAATTATATGATCAATACTTCATAATTTCACATCAAAACTGATAACGTCATTAATTAAATATTTATTTTGTCAATCTAGTTTACTATTTATCTTTTTCGATCATATAATTAATAATATATTGAAATTAGTTCTTATTTTTATGAAATTACGATATCTTAACTATATGATTAATAAAATTAAAGAATTAATATTTAAACATATTACTAGATTAAAAGGTTATTACTATAAACATCTTATACTATGATGATAATGATAAAAAATAGACAAAGTTTCTCTTATGATATCATATAAAAATATACTAAGTTTTTAATGTATAGACATATAGCAAAATATATATAAAAAAGCATTTAGTAATTTGTATGCATAAATATTTATCATATATGTAATAATCAAAATTTATTATTATGATACGATTACTTCAGTTAACCATTGAGCAGATCTCTTTCCAAACTGGTATCAGCAGCTCTTGATAGTTACATACCCACACATTTTTTTTTGTCATAACTTTATTATGTTATAAATCTGAAGTATATGTATTTAGTTAATTATACTACTTTTACGTAAAAAAAGTAAATGAATGTCCATAGATTTATACTATTAAAATATGATTAAAACAATATTGAAGTGTGATTGGAAAAGCAATAAATTATACAATAGTAAAGCACATATATCTTAATATAATCATGGATATATGGTTAAAGTATAGTTAAAGTACTGCCAAAATACTATTAAAATACTTAAGATACACTTATAAAAAGCAACAAAATTCCACCTTCTCATACTCTTCATTATATTCATGATTCTTTGAGTCACTCTATAGGAGCTTGTTGGAATATTATGAGAGTTATAGTTTTTTTTGCTTATTCTTACTCAATACTTTTGTAAAATAATTTAATCCAAAATAAGATATTCTATTTGTTATTATTATATGAATTAAGGAATCTCTTTGAATCCTTTGATACCAGCAATATTGAATGGAATGATCCATTCAGCTTTGGTTGTATTATTAATCAAAACTCAGACATAATTTTTAGAAAGTTACCAGAAGAACAAAAGAAGAATTTGAGAGAAATTATAAATTTGATATATAATCAATACAAACAAGTTTCATTATTTCTGACTTGATTAAAGTTCTTTTAGAAAAATCAAAGAGCTTGAATAAAAGGGAAATGATAGTTTTACTTTCACCTATACCAGCAGATTTCCAAGAAAATAATGAGGAGTTTGAAGATATATGTGTGATGCATAGGATCATAGACTCAGTATAGGTAATTGAGCTTCTCTATCTTGATAATTAACCAATTTCTAATACTCTTATTCTTATAGCTGATATATCTGGTACTACTTTAACAATGAAAACAAGGCTGAATACACTGAGAGGATATATATCATCTGCATAATATCCAATTTTCTTGATCCACTATTTTGCTATGAAAATACCAAACTTAAAATTATCTAATAAAGTTTTAAATAATGTATAAAATATGAATTTTTACCAGAGGTGATCACATAATAATTATAACAAGTTTTACATACATTATAACAGGGCTGAAGAAGTCTCAGAGGCATCTCAATGTCAGATGGATGATTTTGGAGAAATCAGAATTGGACACAAGTCTGATTTTCATGTGAAATCTCTTCTGATTGTCAGTAAAGTGAAAATCTGTTTTATGGAGATCTTACATATTCTTTTGACTAATAAAAAGATCTATGATAATTGGGATAAGTTAATCAAGCTTATGAAAGATGCTCATGTGTAATTACTGAGAAAACTTACTAGAGGAAGGGTTAGAAATGTAAAGAAAATAGAAGAAGATCTTAATAGGATGCCAGTTTTTGGTATCTAAGTTGCTGATATGTAATATCACAATTATTTTTTTTTTTTACTCAAAACTAACCATTTCTACTTTAGGAGGAACTATAATATGTTGAGTTATGACTATGCCATTTGGAGCCTTTTACTTTGTTTAACATCTTGATTTAGTACAAATTTCTATAAATTAAGACTAATCTTCACTTGCCAGATTTATGGATGAATTATAGAAGTTAAGAGTAAGGCTATCAAATATAGAAAGTTAGATAAACAAACTCCTAGTTAATTAATAGAATTATTTGTAGATGTCTCTATAAAACCATATTCACACCCTTACTAAGATTATAGAAAAAGTTGATATATCTTTATATAATATAGCTTTTTGTTCACCACAAGCTTGAGAAGATGTGTCTCTTTATGATAATGAGTTAGTAATACCACAATCACCATAATAAGATCTTACTGATTTGGATATTAAAAAGACAGTGGATCCCTTATAATATATATATAATGAACTAACTTAACTTAGATTATGAAATATCATACTCTTGAAATATTTTTTATGATACCAACAGATTTATAGTCTATTAATAGTATCTATATATATTCATATATTATAAACTGTCATATAGTTGAAATAATTTTTATGATACTGATAAGTTTATAGTCTACTAGTAGTATTAACCCTTATATATCAAATTGGTGATGATAACATGATCTGATATTATAATATATAATTGCTTTATTAATGGTTATAATCAGTTTCTATTATTATATCATATATAATCCATCATCTAATATATAGTTTACACCTTCCTTGTGATATGGTTGATCAAAATCATGACAAATTTTTATTATCAAGTCACATATGATATATCATATACCTAATCATCAATCATAGTCAATTTCCGGTCAATTTCATATATATGAGTTAGTATATTAATCATAGTCTGCTGAGATCTGGATGATAGATTGGCTTATCATATATTTGATGGACTGATTATATTTTATGTGTCATTTATGGACCTGATGTAAGAGTTATATCTGAATCTGACACGTAATATCTTAGCTTTCTAATTAATTCCTCTATGAGGGCCAGGTTTGAGATACCTAGTATCAAAATAGTATTCATGATCTTTATATGATTTACTAAAATATTGCCTGAGAATGAGACATATAGTACTAAATATTATCTATCATATTGCATTCAAATATTGATTAAGGTTAAGATATGTAGTACTGAATTGCTAATATTTATTTCATGTCTATCCAAAGCATAATTTTATATTATATATATATCTGCAATAATATTACCTTGACCAGATACTGATTTTCTTTGAATTATATCTGATGATACATTCAATTTTGTATCTATCCAAAGTATAATTTTTTATTATATATATATCTATAATAATTATACCTTGACCAGACATCAATTTTTTCTTCAAATTATGTAGTTAAAATAGTATGCTTTATATTTAACCACCCTTTCTATAATAATTATATCTTGACCGGACACTGATTTTCTTTGAATTATATCTTGACTGGATACTAATTTTTCTTCAAATTATGTAGCTAAAATAATATATTCTTTATGTTTATAATAATTATATCTTGACTAGATATCGATTTTCTTCAAATTATATTACTAAAATTATATATACTTAATATCTATTCAAAGTATAATCACCCTTTCTATAATAATTATATCTTGACTGGATACTGATTTTTTGTCAAAATTATACCTATTTGATATCTGTCCAAAATATAATTTTATTATATTAATAATTATTAAAAACAGTTATATAGTAGCTATATCTTGACTAGACACAAATTTTTTTTGAATATATACATATTATTTACTGAAAAGTACATCTCAATCAAAATTTCACAGCACAAAAATGGTTATCAATTAAATTATCTTATCTATATATCTCTAGTATTTACGTGAAATTTTACCTGATAGATACGTGAATTGAGCAAGATATTCATCTACCAGGACCCAAAAACTCTCTTTATATGATTCAGATATCAAAATATTAATTTTTGATTTGAATTTTTTCCTATATTTACAATAAGAGTTGATAAAAATTCTCTTATCTGAATGTATAACTAGTTGAATATAGCAATCTCTCTTTTCCAGAAATTACTACTTAACTAGATAATATTATCTTAATATCTTATATCTGCTTTATTAAAAGATTTATAACAATTATTCATATTCAATGAGAGCCAAAGATTTATTTTTCAGCTCTTTTTTATATGGTATAGTGAGAACTTTCACTTTAGCCTAATAATTTTGCTTATATTTCAAGAAATCAGCCTCACTCATACTCTCACGCTCTTTTTTCTAGTAATTCTAATTATCTCGCATTTTAAAAGTAATCTTGATTCTCCATTGTTTTAACTTTTCTTTTGATATTTGGAATTTTTGCTATAAAAAAAGAATAAGAGTTTCTATATCAAATTCATTTCTAATAAGGAATTCTGAAGATAGAGAAATTAAGGATTCAGATAACTCTTTCTTAACTTCAGTAATGCTTAAGAATTGCTTGAAATTATTTGATTGATCTTGAATCAATACTATAGAGGATAATTGTGGCAAATTTATTACGGATTTTTCAACTATATTAACATAAGAACTCTTTTCACAAATCTTATTGCTAGATTTTGAAATAGCTATATCAGTAGTAATAGCAGAGCTAGTGTCAAGACATATGAATATTAAATTAAAAAGTTCTTGAATTTTATCAATCAATTCTGACTTGTATAGTAAAAGTGTGAGAGTATATATTCTATTAAAACCAACTTTACTATACAGTTTGTGACTGATCCAGTAAGTTTTCTTTCTTACTCAATTAGTTCTTGGACTTACACGAGTTTCTCCACTTCTGATAATATAACTATACTAATCATCTATTACCACATTAATAAATTTTATTGTAGTATTGAGATCTGATATTCCTTTAGCTCTGGTCTTAAAGCCAAAGAGTAATAATACATCTTTTCGAATTTTGACAATTTATTCTTATGATTATTTGAAAGCTTTTGCTATATCATCATCAGAAAGAATATTCATATTATCTATATCTCTAAAATCTATAGATTGAACAAGATTATGTATTACTTCCCACTATTTTGCTAAATAAAATTTATGCAAATCAACTGAGGATGGATCTATAGATTTATATGAATCTTCTTACTGCATTTCTTCTTTGATTTTTAGATTCTTTATAGAATTTGTTGCATTAGAATCTTGTCTTCTGAAATATGCCAGTCCTCTGAAATGGTTTAAAGATTCAGGATTATTGAATCTTATTATGAAAGATTCATCACAAAGCTTAACTCAATCATCATTATTCATACTCCAATTTCAAATATCATATTTATCTCCTATATTATCTGAAGCATATATTTTCCATAAATAATATCATTATAAAGTTATGTTATTAGTAAATAATTGTTCAAGATTTAACTTAAGTATTTCAGCTTTATCAAAAGTAATATCAGATGTATTGGCTATTAATTCTGCATCAGAATTTTCTATCTTATCCTGAATCGCATCAATAATATGAGAAACTTTTTTCCTATTAAATTTTTTGGTGTCTTTTGCTAAAATTAATTCAAGTGTTACTCCAGTACTAGTAATAAGATTGCATAGAATTTCAGAAAAATATTTGGCAGATAAGCATTTCTGATATTCAATCTCAATATAAGTTTCGATTGCTGATGATGAGTCAATAATATAACAATCAGTAATTTTGTCTCATTCATGATATTCTTTTATAGCAGTTAGTAAATCTCTAGGTCTCAAGACAGAGAGTTCAGCATGAATAAGATCATGATTCAGTTCTTTGAAGATGTCAATTTTTTTATTATTATAAAGAGAAATAATATGATATGGATAATCATGTACTTGATAAAATATTTATGCAAAAGCTTCAGCATGTACTCCTATATTAATATTACTTATTCCTATAACTATATCAAAATAATTAGAAATTTCAAAGAAAATACCAGCTTTCACAGTACTTATATAAATCACACAATCAAGAGTATTTCAAGTAGTATTAATATTAGTAAAATCCTCTTGATGCTGTTTTCTATCTATTTGACCAAAATAAACTCGTGATAAAATATGTGAGTCATCTGATTTTAATAACTTAGAAGCTTGAATAGCTATAGCTCTAGCTTTTTTGCATGCAGTAACTAAAAAGACAATCTGCTTATCTTCTTCAAGCATCTTAAGATCTTTATATATAGTCTTTGTCTCTCTGTCTGGATCATAAAGAATTTTTACAGACTTATCTTTATGTGGCTGATATTTATTATCAAAAACTCGTATATTTTCATCTTGATATTATCTTAAGAAGATTAATATTGTAACCAATCAGCTTATTCGTGTGATACAGTAGATATGGTGCAGTAAATGGCACAGCCGCAGCATGTGGTGTAGTAATCGCTGATCACTACTAAATTAGGTAAATAAGTAATTTATATTAATTAATTTAATTTATTATTAATTCTATTTTTAATTCATATTATTACCCATATTT